TAGTGGGTTTTTTTGTCAGAAGAAACTGAGCATTATAGGGGAAATATATTTGTATATTGGTATTTCTTTGAATGTCGGAGCTGAAGGATAGGCACTCAAAGTACACTGTATTGTTCATTCGTTCATATAGCGGGCCTCTAACATGTCTCGCTGCATTGAAAGATCTATAAATATTCGATGTAGGTTGAGAAAAGTGGATGTGGTTGTTTTTTGAGTTTCATCATCTTTCACACTGTTTTCTATATCACGATTCAATGTGCACATGACGTGTTGTCGTGTAACAGGCGTTATACATTGAAGCATGTGTTTAACCTTGGGCTGGAGTATTAAGTCGTGTTTCTTCGTTGCCCACTCAAGGAACTGGTTGGTGACCAGTTTTCCCTGTTGGGCGTCATCGAAATTGTTGATTATTATAGCCAAAATTTCGCTCTGAATAGATGTTCGGCGAACTTTAGCTGGTTTTTGGAAAATTGAATAATTAGTAGCAAGGGTGATGAGGTTGCTTGATGACCAAGTGCCGCCTAGTTCTGCTAGGAGTTCCTTGGGTGGTGATTTTGGGCGATCTTCCACAACAAACGTTTCTGCAAGTTGTTGCATCACGTGATAATACCCGTATAAAAATGAGTATATGAAAAGATGGAGAAGTGGGTTTGAAACCTCATCTGAACCTTCGTTGGTTGAAAAAATATTCTTCAGTTCAGTTCAGTTCAGTTTATTCTGGCATAGCCATGGATATACGAAAAAAAACATTGCTAGTGCAAAAGTTGGTAACAAAATAAAAACTGCGTTTGATTAAGAATCTAGGCAGATAACTTTGTCAACATATCCATAGAGGAAGAAGAGATGATACAAACAAAATGGTAAAGAGAAGAACAAAAGAGCAAGAAAAGAAAACTAGTACAAATATTGATAAACAAAAAACATCATTAGTCTCACATTAGAAGAAAGAGTTTGAGTGCATCTTTAAAAGCGGAGAGAGACGGTTTTGAGACTATATGCTCCATAAGCGGAGAGAGACGGTTTTGAGACTATATGCTCCATTGATAGAGGATTCCAGTCCTTAGGAGTTCTCCAGAAAAAAGAGGACTGCACCGTCTCATAGGTGGTGAAAGGCACTTCTACCGCTTGAGAATTCGTGCTACGGCGAAATGACCTCGTGTTCCTAACTGTAGTTATATACTCTTGACGATTAAGGAGAGAGAGGTTGTTATATAGTTTGTAAAAAGAGACAAGACGAAAATAGCGCCTGCGCACTGTAAGATCAGGCAGTCGTAGCTGGGTAGCGAGAGTACTACTGTCTGTTTCAGGGTCGAAGTTTCTGGTAATAATGCGCGCCGCAAGCTTCTGAAGAGAATCTAGTGGAGCAAAATGAGTGGAAAAGTTCGAGTCGTAAACTGCTGAGCAATAGTCAATTTTGGGTAGTACACAAGTCTTGTAAAGAGTCAGACGAATGGCTTGTGGTGCATCTCGGAATACTCGATTTAAAGCTCCTAGCATACGCCTGCAAAGCAAAGCAAGTTCACTAATGTGGGTAGACCACTTAAGATCGTGCGAAAGACGTAAACCTAATAGTTTAGGGTCATTGTCAAGAGAAAGAGGATGGCTGCCAAGAGAAAGTCTCCTCTTAAGCGGGGTCGGAAGATCGGACAGAATTTCAGGGGTGATATGTTTCCATAACGTATGGTCCACTATGAAATCTAGACCATCGGGACTATCCGAAATGCTTTTTACTCCTAATGCAGTTGATGCCTCTGTTGGCTGAAAATCGATGAGTGTTGGTGTGGGGATACTAGGTACATTGAATGGCGTATATAAAATGGTGGAGCGAGTCGGATGCCATGCAGTATTGGCTCTAACAAAAGTTTGCGCTTCAAAAGAAAAAACGACAGGGGGAAAACGAACAAAATTACAAAAAACGTTAAGAAATGTTTGTATGAGTTTACCCTCTGTCTGTGTTCTCATATGAAGCCCGTCCCACAAGTCCTCTACCTCTAGTGCTGTTGTTGTTTCGAAGCCAGATTCTGATGCTGCTTCATCTAACATTCGATTGTACTCTTGGATGATGATGGATGGTGGTGTTTGTGGTAACCCGCGAAATGGTTGTGTTCGATGGATAACTTTATGCACGACGATGCGGAGATTTTGATACATGTGTCGAATATCGTTGACAAACGAAACAACCGAGTCGACGACTTGATCAGGTGACGTGTCATTTAAATCGTTTGTTCCTGCGAACAATATAAACTGGGTGGCATTATGCAGAGTATGGTGTGCGTACTGCGTGTGGAGTAACGAGTGAATTGTGGAGACTCGCGCTCCGCTTTGTGAACGGATGAGGATATGTGCGTAGGGGTTGAAGAAATCGCTTGTTCTAATTCGTTTACATGTCGAGTCGAAGAAGATCGTAACTACCGATTTTCAACGTTGGGGTTTGTGCTGGTATGGTTCCTGCCACGGTTGTGTTCGCTACGGTGGAAACGTACGTCTCTGTTGAGCCCAACCACGTGTGTTGGACGTGAATGTTCGTGTTCGTATCTGCTATGGCTGCCGGTCTAATGTAACTGAAGGTGAAGGAACATGTACATTGGTGGTTCAGTGTCAACGTAACACTGATAATTGTCGATAAATGGTTGGAAACGATTGGATGTATGTGTACTTGATGGTATCCGTGGCTGTGGTGGTGGTGCACGGTTAAAATGCAGCGTGTTGATTTGCTGCTGTTGCACTGTTGGTGGTGACGGTTGTTCCTGGATGCCGATCGGGGTGTAACTGTTGAAATTGGATGTTGTGCCGGGTTGGAAACGGTATCGTTTCTGCCTTTGATTCAACTGCGGGCGTTGTTGTGTTGGTAAAAAGGATCGTGGTAACTGCTGTGCAGATGGTTGTTGAACAGACTTTCGTTGCTGTTGTCTCATTCCTTTTCCGGCGACCATCCAGTATGGTATGGGAGGCAACTTGGGGACAGCGTCTCTCATCGAAACAGCTGGTGAAACCCCAGCCTGCTCCAGTAAGTTTGTGTCTGTGTGTGTGTGCGGCGCGACATGCAAAAAAGTATCTGGATGTGAAATACCTGTGCCTGCTAGTACAAAATCCGCTGGTTGTGAAGCAGCGTCTGATTCATTAGCAGGTGATGTTCGTGTTGGTGTCGTCGCCGTTGTGATCTTCATCTGACCATCGGCATCTGGTGATGGTATCGGCGGTTGTTTCAGGGCACCAGGTCCTCTTGATTGCGCTGATTGTGCATGAGCTCCAGAATCAATATGTTGTTCGCGGGTACTAGGCATCTCAAGTACGTGCGCGGCAGGCACCATGACATCGAATAATTGTTGAACAGGTTGAGCTAATAAATCGTCTAGTTGTTTCATTTCTAAAAGTGACAACCGATCTACCACCACGCACAATGTTGTCAATGTGTGTGGTGGTAGATTGGTTGTCAATGTGTGTACTGATAGATCGGTTGTCAATGCGTGTGGTTAAGAGCCACTCTTTGAGCGATCAGTTGACGAACTTGCTTCTTCTGCCACGTGTTTAACAATATGTCGGATGAACGGTTTAAATCAGAGGAAGAGAGACTCACGGTTTTTTCGTTTCGCGGTTGCCGCTCGACTGGGAGGTGGTGTCTTAAATCCAAGTCTTGTAGCCCATTCGTTGAGCACGGTGGTGATCGTTGATGTTGTTGTGTCCGGTGCTTCATCTCTGTTTGATATCGCCTGATGTTGTTCTTCTCCACCCACATTGGAACTCGGTGGTGGCGGTTTGTTTGAAATCGAATCGAAATCGGCGGTAAGATCTAGTAACGGTGTATTTACTCTTGTCGGTTCTAATACTGAAGCACTCGAGAGAAGTGCCGGCGCATCTGGCCGACGTTGCTGTCGTTGGGTCATGTTATTTCTGTTCTTGTTCAGTACTTCCCAGCAATAATGTTGGTGACGGCTGGATCAGAATATGAATTTACAAATTATTTTTCGTACCAAACAAAAACTTTTTCTTTTATTTTATTATAAAATTACAAGTAAAGATTGAAGATAGAAAACGATGATCATAAAATTCACATGTATAAATGCATTTCGAATACCTTCTTCAGTGTACGTATGTGAAAGAATATGAAAAAAACATGCAGGTTATACCGGCAGAAAGGACATGTTAACAATAAAAATAAAATAAAAATAATCAATGATAATACATGTTAGAAATAACCAATGAAGACTGTTTGGACACGAGTGGATGAGAACAGAAAATGGATGTGTATGATAAAATGTCTAACGATTTCGTTGGACTACATGATGAACCATCAAGAAGCCGCTATAATAATAGCCTCAGGGGGTGACAACTGCAATAAGAGATTTGTCCTAATTCTTGGACAACCTAGAAATGTGGTTTTTTCGTCTTCTGAAGCAGATCTGATGGTGCTTCGAAAAGCTTTTTACGGTTTTTGCACTTGAGAGAGCTCAAAACTATCAAAAAAAATTTTTGGGTAAAAATCATCGGAAAAAGTTTTTTGGTATTTTTGATTTCGCGTGAAAACGAAACATATTGGAAGTATAAGAGTAGAGGCAAAACCGGAGCACTTTTTTAGGCGAATCTTTTGCCAAATTAAAAATTTTTTCCTAAAATTTTTTTAAAAAGATTTTTTGACGGATTCGTGTGCGTTGTGTAAGGTTGTTAGTGAGGTTGTCAGTATACGGCCTGGCCAGCTAACTCTACCTGCGTACGTAATTCCGTGACGTTTTTCTATGATTTTGTTTTATTTGCAGAAATTTTTGAAAAAGTCAGAACTCAAAAGTAAATAAACCATTTTGTAGACA